AAAAAGTTCTCTTTAAAAAAAATTAAATTATTTAAATTTTATCATTAAATTTAATTATTAATTTTTAAACTTTTAATAAAATTTACTATTGTAATTATATTAAATAAATTTCTATTGAAAATATTAAATAAATAACAAATATATTAATATTAAAACGTGAACTCGAAACTATTCAACTATTTAAACTTTTCTTGAATAATTGAATGTAATGTATAATAAATGATCATTAAATCCCTTTTTGTATTTAAACCTATTTAATAAATCAACTTATCAATTAACTTAAGGCTGATCTAAATGAGGTCAAAATATTAATAATTAATAAAAATAAGTGAAATAATCTATAATATAATTATGGTATAGGAAAATATATACACAATATAATTAATGTAAATAATAAAAGATACTGCAATTATTATTTTATTATAATTCTAGTGTAACACCAAAATACGCTCGCATTGGAGGAATCAATCTTACTGACTCCATGAATTTGGACATAAAAATTAAAAGAATTATAGTGCATCCTTCATACGACTATATATCATCTTATAATGATATTGCGTTAATAGAGCTGGAACAAGAATCAAAGTATGTTTAATATATAAATGAACTCAAGCCTTATAATTAATAAATTTTTTAATAAATATCTATTTTAAGTAATGAGGTAGTTTGCTTATGGAGTAAATATGATCTACCAAATAAAAATGTCACAGCAATTGGTTATGGACACACAAAATTCGGTGAGATTAATTATTAACTATTAATTATAGTGTACATAAATTCAATAAAAATATTTGATATTAACTTATATAGGCGGAGAAGCTTCTCAACAGCTGCTAAAGGCCAATTTGAATATAGTTCACAATAATCTTTGTAGAACACATTATATTCATGATAACGATCAACTTCAATATGGCATTATCAATACACAGATTTGTGCTGGAGATCCAGAAGAATTACGAGACACTTGTCAGGTATTTTATAAGTTGTGAGAAATTTAAATATAATAAAATATTGGCTAAATTACTGCCATTATGTTAGGGTGACTCTGGTGGTCCAGTAATCATGAAAATTGGTGAAGACATTATACATGACTTTATTGTTGGTATTACATCATTTGGACAAGGCTGTGCTGGGAAACCACCCAGCGTAAATACAAGAATATCAGCTTACATCGATTGGATAGAGAACATTGTATGGCCTCAATCATTATAAACATCTTAATATAAAATATGGGTATATGTACATACGTAGTATTGTGGATTCTAACGAATACCAGCTATATATAGCACATTTTACATATAAAGTTTTTATATATCAAAATTATTTATATTTTTAAAATATATAACATAGCAACTAATTAAAGGATATAGACTGTAGAATAAATTTTACATATTTTTTGAAAAATGAATTTGTATAAATTTGGTTAAATAATATTATATAATTTGCTTTTAGCTAATTTATTAGAAAATCCTAACCGGACAGAATTTTTTATTTTTTTTTGTTTTCTTTCTTGACACAGGCTTCTCACACAGGATTTGATAATATTTATATATTTCTTTGTGATCATCCTTCTCCAAGTAATTATCGATTAACCTTCTTCTCTCTTTCTGAAGGATTCTATTCCAGAATCGCGTGCAAAATTTTATTTAGAGGCTTGTGGAAAGTGCGATTCAGTCAGATGTTTGATTACTTATTTGTTTAGTCTATGCATTCATTACTGACAATATGCATTCATTGGGACTTATTGTGTATACCAATATTCTTAATATTTATCACAAAAAACCGTCGATTAAAATTTGTTTTTTATATGCAATTAAGTCCATTATAAACCACTTTTCTGAGCTATATAATAAAACGGTTTCAACAAAAGTATTAAAAGCTTCACTTTCGTTTTAGAATACGAACTCGTTACGAAACCAATTTCTAGTGTCAGCAGTATTACCACTTTTTAATATATATCCGAGGTATTTCACTTCATCCACTTTATTGCTATTAAAAAGAACTGGTTTTCGGCATTCTATCTACGGTTAACATTCATACCAAAATTATTCATAATATAGTGGCAGGAACCAAATATTGTCAAACTCCACATCGTCCCAGTAGAAAACGGATCGATCCGTCGATCCGAGACGTCTTCAAGACATGGATATATACATGAAGATCGATAGATACAAATGTATGACGGTCTTCGAAGACATTTTTGAACAAATCAGCCAAAAGTCTTCGAAGACATTTTGCGTACATGTCTCGAAGATCATGTCTGCATAACGAAGTCATTCGATTGAAAGTTGTGTGCTCTTACCATTTAATTTTTTCACTCTTTTTTATTTCTTCTCTTTTTTGCGCAGCAGAGACGCAGCAGAGGAGATATGCTGCGTCAGGCCGAAACTCGGTAACGGGTTATTATGGCTAAATAAAAAAGTAAGTAACTTAACGCTTTCTGCAGATCTCTTATTAAAGAATTGAAAAGAATTGTTATTTATAAAAACCAGCTGTGTTGAAAAAAATTCTGCAAGTAGCAAAAATAGCATCCAGATACTCCCGTAAAGATGTTTTTTCTTTGACACCACCGTAGGTATGGGACAGAATTATATTTTTACTAAAGATGGCTTCAATATTTGCAACATTTCCCGACTAACGGACAGTCTACATGAAAGTGTAGAATATAGGTTATTATAAATATAAGATATATATGTATATTAAATAAAAATTAGTTTCATTTACCTCAAAACTGTAATTCACTTCACTTCACTTATAGCTTCACTTCACTTATAAAACATCAACAATATTGGTGTATGATCTGCCAAGGTATGTTGATTGGCTGTTGATTTCGTTTATTGTTGATTTGTGCCAAGTAATTGGAGGCCTTCTACTTCTTCTACTGCTTTGCGGGTTATACGTAAGAGCTTGAAAATAGACTTCACTTGTTGGCTTTCGTAAGATGTGACCAATCCAGTCAAACTTTCTCCTGCGGATATTTATACTGATATCGTTTGTATTTGTTTTGTTCCACAATTGTTGGTTTGAAATTCGGTTTGGCCAAAAGATACGTAATATTTTCCGAAGGCACTAGTTTACAAACGAACACACTTTGTTTTGAATTATCTCGGTTACGAGCCATGTTTCGCAAGCATATATCAGTATGGATAAAACACATGCTTTGTGCCAATCGCCTTTCGTATTCTTGCACTCACGTCCTGCATACTGCGACCATCAATAGCTACTGCACTTCCCAAGTCTTGAAATTCATTTACTTGTTCCATGATTTGACCTTGAAGTTCGAATCGGTCATTGCATGTTGTATTAATTCACATTCCTTTGGTTTTTTGTGCATTGATCTTGAGCCCAACTTTTGCAGCTTTTGCTTCCTGATTTTCAAGTTTTCGCTGCATATCGGTAAAACGATGTGCCATTTCTACTGGGTATGCTGATAACACATCAATGTGTTCTACTAGACACACTGTAACAATGTATGTTGAATTGAATATATTAAACTCAATATACCTATATCCAAAAGCAAGCATTTCCAAAGAATCTTAAGAAGCTATTTATAAATAAATAATCTCAAGCGATAAATAATTTTACAGGAATTTCCCAGTATATACGGCAACAGTGCATGCTTAACATTAAGTAAAAACCCAAAGACCTCAGATGCTAAGTTTTGAAATTGGTAAATAAAAAAAATATTATTTTTTTTTCCATTAAATTGTTTCAGTTCTTCTTATAAATGTAAGAATATAATTGTTTCATCTTAGCATCGTCTTGGCAGTTGCAATCGATCGAGCTTAGAGTGAGCACTCAATCGGTGAAAAATTTTAGAATTGAAATGTTGAATTTTATATGTAAATTTTTATTTATGTTGTGTTTTATATTTGGAAGGTGTAAGTTCAAGATTCCGGTATTTTATGCAATTATTTTAAAAATATATATTTTTGCAGCTGCTTCTTCCAAAATACGACCATCTCAACTTGGTAATACTAGTGTTGATATAATTTAATAAACATAACAAATTAAAATCGATTTTTCACCAGAATGTTTAGCTTCACATCCAGAAAGATCTAATCACCATATTTTTCGCAGAACCGTCGTAGGAAATGGGCCTGGTTTGCCAACACAAGCAAACGAATTTCCTTATATGGTAAATTTTTTAACATATAGTGAATATAAAATTTATATGCAATATACATATATATTATTTTATAATATGTCGTAGGCGGCTTTAGGTTATAGAAAAAGTGGTTCTGAATCTGCAACCTATTATTGTGGCGGAGTTCTTATATCAAAGAGATTTGTTTTAACATCAGCCGTCTGTGCGGACAATGGTGATACGTAAGTTTAAACAACTTGAGCAGAATAACATATGGGCATTAATAATTGTTTTAAAATAGTCTCGTTGAATAGTTCAATAATTATATTTATTGATTGTTTTTGTTATTACAATCAATTAATAATATATTCAAATCAGTTTCATTGGTGTTCATTAAGTAAATATGAATATAATTTATCTTGAGTATAACCAGTGCAAAGAGAATGTCACTATATATATATTCACTACTTTCACTTTAACATTATATAGTATATTGTGTCATTCAAAGTTCTATATTGTAAATTAGTTTGGATTTAAATGTGCAAAACAAATCTATTTTCAGTTTATACTCTAACGCTTTTGTTATTGATAACAACTATTCCCAAAGCACAATTAAACTGCAGTATCTAGAAATGTTGAAAATGAAGTGTTCGAATGTTACGCTACATTCGGTAATTACTGTACAAGTATTCCATATAATTGAACTACAGTGAGAGTGCCAACTACTGTAGTAAGAAATTATACTTAAATCATGGATTGGGCGTAATTAAGAACAAATTTATACATATTTTACTTTCTCCTTTAATTTTATTTTTTTTGCTTAAATCGGGACGTGACATCCATCTACTAAAAATACTACTACTAAAATACTAAGTGAAGAGATGTTTCTCTTCTATAATTGAAATGAACCAATCACAGTTGTTAATAAGTTTACGTAGTTTATATTCGTTTTAAGTTCCAATTAAGAATGGAAACATTATATATATTTAATTTTATTATAAAAATAAATTTTGAGAATATTTCAGACAACCAGAATTCGTTCGATTGGGTGGAGTTAACTTGAAGGATAAAAATATAAGAGATATAAAAATTAAAAGGACATTTACTCACCCTTCTTACGATACTGATTTAAGCTACAATGATATCGCGTTATTAGAATTGGAGAAAGATTCTGAGTAGGTTCCACTTTTCAATTAAATACATTTTCATTTTGAAACCTTGTAACCTTATAGTAAAACTGTTGCTTGTCTATGGGATAAACATGATCTACCTAATACAAATGTTACTGCCATTGGTTATGGACGACCAATATTTGGTAAGATATATAACATATATATATAAGATATACTGCCATATGCTACTACGAAAATTTATATGTTATTTGACTTAAAATCATTATTATTTGACATATTATGTTATTTTTATGTTATTATTTGGTTTTAGAGTCTCAAATTTCTGAAAATGTTTCAAAAGCAAATTTAAAGGAAATAAATAACAAAAAATGTGGAACGTATTATAAATCGTATGAAGAGGCTTTACCAAATGGTGTAATTAATACTCAGATTTGTTTTGAAGATCCAGTAACATTACACGATACTTGTAATGTATGTTAGAAATTTAAATATGACATATATATCTTTTATTTATATTAATCATAATTTCAGGGTGACAGCGGTGGACCAGTAATAATGGAACTAACTACAGATAAATTAATTGATTATGTTGTTGGTATTACATCATATGGACTAGGTTGTTATGGTGGACCTGGCATATACACAAGAGTATCAGCTTACATTGATTGGATCGAGGGTATTGTATGGCCTTTGAAAACTAATTGAAATTTCAAGAGACATTAATTAATATATTTCTATGAAATTATAAATAAATATAAATAATAGAATTATAACTGTTAAGTTAAAATTGTAGAAAATATTTAATTTTATTTGAAATAGTTAAATCCTGTATTCTACAAACCACTAAGTAACTTTACGTAAAGCTACAGTAGTACATCTAGTGGGAATTAGGAAATAGATACCTCCTTAAGATAATATGCTTTAAAAATATTGCCAATAAAATATTTTCTAATATATCGCTAGAAAATAATTCTAGTATATATATTGGTTATCCCATATATACCAGTCGGTTTTGAATGTGTTCTATAGTATATCTAAAACTGTGTACTGCAAATAGTTGTCCAACTATTCAACTAAATGTCTGTAGTCACTTGCTCACAGATCCATTTAAAATTCTGCCTCATTATTTAAATAACATTTTATAATTTCGATACAATTTAGTTCAATATCATTTTTCACTGGATTAGACAGAGATAAGTTAAAAGTTACATTTTATCTTGAGGTAAAAAAAGTGTTTTTTGCGGTTGAAAAGAAATAATGTTACCATATTTAGACTCTGTTTGAGAATAGCTTCGTTTTAACCCACGATTTAAATCTTTTTTCCAACACTACCATATCAGCTTTATTAGAATTGTAAAGAACCATTTCATGCAGTTCGATACCAAATGACTTATTTATCATAATGCTCAAAACGATAATTGGAGCAGAAGCATTGAGCCATAACGACTATTGACGAAAGCCAAAGATATAGTTATTGTTTAACTGAACACCTTTCCAAATTAGAAAAATATGAGTCTTTTGGTAAATGTACATAAAGCAAATACTTTCTTTTTACAAATAAATTTCCAGATCAACTTAAAACGTTCCGACATTACGTTCTGCATTTTTAACGTAAGGGTTAAGTAAGAAACGATCTGATGTCTCTCGGTACTACCAACTGGCGACAACAAACAACTGATCGAGATGACTGGTGAAGAATACTATTGGACGCGGACAAACACAAAATACTTACTTATGTAAAGTAATGCTATGGAAAATAAAGATTTTCTATAGCTGTCGGAATATCTATGAAAACTATAACAATATTATATTAAATAGAAAACTAGGGATGTGACTTCATAAGCACCAAGTACATCTTTTTATTTATTCAGATATTGTTAATATAAAATGGACTTAAATAGAATGTTGTTGTTGTACACGGGTTGAATAATAAAAGATACAATGTTGCTATTGTATATGGACAAATGCATTAGCTTAGAGGAGAGGTTGTTGGCTGGAATATGTGAGAAATAAACAGAGGAAGTGAGCCATATATATCAGCGTATTTTGAATGGTATTGAAACTAAACGAGGTCGGAGTGAGTATTGACACCTCAATTTAATGGACTAGTAAATCGATAGGAGTTGATTTTAGGTACGATGAAACAGTTTAACAGATAAGCATCGTTATGAACAAAACGGAGGGATTAGGAGGGAGGGATTAGATGTATTAATATTATGTTCTGATTTGAGTTTAGCTATTAAAATTTTTGCTGCACATGACAGTTGTCTTCCATTTGAATAGATTCCAGACACACAGCCAATCAGAACTTTGTTGCAACGCAATAAATATAGTCTGCAAAAGGGTACCTTTTTCTCGAAATGAAGAAGTATAATAGTATGTATGTATGTTGATCATTTTAATTTACTTTTACTCTTTGATAGCTGGGGATACTACAGGGTCCCACCCATCTCATTGACTAATATATGTATTCCTTATAAGCTTCATGATTATTCAGTGATTGATCTAAGATCTGCGTATCTCCCCTTGCGGAGAGTGATTACTCTAAGATTAGATAGTGCTAAGTAGGATAGCCTGTCAGTTTTCGCATATAACTTCAGGGCTCCGTCCCTTATGTATAATATTATAATATAATATTACGAGTACCTTTATTATAATACTTATCGATGTATACATAATACAAAAAAAGAAAGATTTTTAAAAACGAACTGCTGAAAATGTATCCATGAATAGAGTTTATCTGAGATATATTTAGTGAAATTCTTCTTGAGACAGTTGAAAAAATATATTCATATTGGACTAGTTTTTTGTATTATATTATGATTCAAGGACTAGTTACTATAGCAAAAAATATGTTGTTTAGAATGCCAGTGATGAGTATAGGTTTTTCTTACTGTTTTCTCATTTAAATAAAAATTCAATATATTTTGGTTTTTAAGTTAATACCTAAAAACATTTAGGTGATTTTTCAAAAAGTTTTATTGATTTTTTTTTAGATTTTTAATCGAGTTTTTGTTAATTTTTTTTAATTTTTCAATTTACGTACATTATACACAATTTTTGTGTTTTTTTTGTTTGTTAAATAAAAATTATATTAATTACATAATGTATAAGTTATAATAATAAACTTCACATTTTCAACGTGTTATTCTCTTTTTTACATTATTCAACTAGAATATAATAATAATTTGCGATACTTACATTAACTAATCTTGTGTGTTTGTATTTTTACTTTAATAATTTAATTTTTGGAGAATTTTGGGTACATTTAATAGATAAATTTATTTATTGCTAATCAAGAGGTAAAATATATATTTGTATGCATAAATCTATAAGTTTGAATGCATACTAAACTGTGGTAGCATTCAGCGCTATATTACGTATGTACTTTTTTGCTTGTTTTTTTTTTCTTTTTCTTCTTTAAATATAATTAATAAGAATTGGTAGATTCACAATGTTTACTTTTGCACTTACTCCAATATGATCTCTTAAATATATTCTTGTTAATTTGATGGTTCATTTCATTTTTTTAACTAAATAAAATACACATGTTTATAGTATTTGTAGCCTGAAAGTAAGCTGCACACAATTTTTATAATTTTATATTGTGTTTTTACTCTCCGAAATCGAATTTGTGTTCTCATTTTATACTTTGATTTGATTTGATTTTATTTTATGAACGATAGACTTTTAGTTTTAATAAGCTTATTAAACGCATTTAAATTATTTTTCTAGTTGCAATTAAAAAAAAAAAATTCGTATTACATTTTGTAATTGAATATACTGTGAATATACACCAAAAAAAAAAATAATAATAATAATAGTAATAAAAAAAAGTGTACAGCTTTTACATGTTAGTAGATGGAACAACAAAAGCGTGTATAAATACAAACGTTTTAATTCTTGAATAAAATAATTAAATAAATGTAATTTAAGCATATTATATATAGTTACATTAAATATTAATATATTTACAAAAAGACCGACAAAATAATTTGCTTAATAAAACGTTATTTAAACAATTGCAATATGGAACAGCGATTTGTGTATTGTTTGCTGTACGAAAAGCATGCAAATAACTTACTCCTTACTAAGCATAAGTTTTCAATTTAATTAAAATAATAATTAAATTTATTTATTACAAAAATTTTGAGACGAAAATTACGAAAATATATTAGAAAGCAATTTTGTTGCAATAAAAAAGCAATTTTTGCGTTTTTATCAAGTGTTGAGTTTGCTTAGTTTAAAATTGTTTTAGATTATCTTAATGAAACTAATGAATAAGAAATGGCAGTTTATGCTTAATTTATGTAAGTTTGATTCATTTCAAAATACATAAAGTTGCAATTGCTTAAACTACGCTTAAAAGACGGAATATGATATAGTTTTCGTTATTTTTTCTTTTTTTTTGCTTTAAAATATAATTTCTTAACTTCGTTTTAATTCATGCATATTTCATAATATTCATTTATGATAAATTATAATTAATTTATATTTATATATATATATATATTAAATTAACATTGTTTATATTTAATAAATTAACAGTGTAACTATTTAATAGTGTGGTAAAGTCTTAAGACGTAAGGATTCAAAATGTACATTTGTTTTTATTTAAATTAATATTCTCACTTAAAATATATAATATAACTTTTCAGTAATTACAAAAGTCTTCAACATTTAAATTATTATACATTTTATAGAATAATGACCGCGTATAGAGTGAGACTAAACTAAATAATATATTTTATTTACATAGCTACATAATCAATTTTATTTATTTTAAATTGCATTTAACATTTAAACGCAGCAGTAAAGGCTTAAATATTTATAGTTAGTTCTTTATTAAAAAAATATATTTTATCCATTCATAAGAATGTATTTTTTATCCTATTTTGAATCAAAATATATACGAATCAACATAGTTGGAAATGTGTACACTAATGCCTAAATTAATGTGCATTCTTTATAGTTTATTTATATCTACAAATGCTCAATATAAGAAATGTTATTTATATATATATATATATAGAGAAACGTCGGTGACATAATTTTAATAATTGATATAATATTGATCTTAGTTTACTTATACCAATAAATTTTCAGTTTTTAAAATGTTTTTATATATATAAAAATGTTAATGAAAATATACATAATAGATTTTTTATCATTTTTTTAAATTATTCATATCGTTAAAATCTCAGTTTTAAAAACATAGAAATATTATTGAGATTCTACATACGTGATATAATATCCCATTTTTAGAAATGTAGTTCAGATATAGAAATGTTGGTGAAAATCTACATAATTCTTTTAATATCCATCTTTTTAATTTATTTATATCGTTAAAATCTCAATTTAAAGAATATTTTTTACATAAAGAAAATGTTGGTAAGAATCTACATAATTTATATAATACCGATCTATTAATTATATTTATATTGATAGATCCTCAGTTCTAGAAATATTGTTTATGTATATAACTGTTGATAAGATCTACATAATTGATGTAATATTGATCTTTTTAATTTATTAATATCGTTCATGTTTTAAAATTATCTCTTATATATAGAAAATATTGGTAGAATCTATATAATTGTTACATTATCGATCTTTTTAGTTTATTTATATCGATGAATAATGTTTTTCAAATTCTGTTTGTATATAGAAAAAGTTGGTAGCAATCTACATAATTAATATATTATCGATCTTTTTGTTTTACTTATATCGATAACTAATGTTTTTAAAATATTATTTGTGTATAGAAACTTTGGTGAGAGTCTACATAATTGATATAATATCGATATTTTTAGTTCATATGTATATCGATAAATGCTTTTAAAATATTGCTTATACGCATATTAGTATACTCTAAATTGCAATTAAGCATAAATTATATATTTATATAAATAAACGTATAAATGACATTAATATTTAACTTATATTAGTGTACATCTTTGAGTAGCATAAAATTAAAAGTAAAAACACACTAGACGTCCTGCGTAACGGTGTTTACACGCTTTAACTGCTAAAATTACACTCAACAATTTTGAAATGCCTGTATATCTTAGGAAAGAAATGCTTTTTCAAATGAACGAGCGTCAGCACTCATTCCTTGATAATCATTAATAATGCTGGTGTCAACACACTTGTCAAAAACCATTCCCAAATAAGTTCTACAAGCATTTCAAACATGGTAATCGTAATTGTAGTAGTCCAAAAGTAAAATAACCATGGCTGGGAGTCAAAGTGTTTTAACATTGATTAAAATAAAAGTACATATCAATATATATTATCACTTATCAATACAGTTAGTTCACTCTATAGGGTTACAGGGAAATTAAAATTTTATTGTTAATAAAAACTTCAAAAAAACTAAAATATATCGGGAAAAATATTTGAGTAGACAAAAGTATTAACATTTAAAAATCTTAACCAATTTCCCTTATTGTGTTGATAAAAATGTATACTAATGAAAAGTTCTTCTTTTTACAACAAATTACATATTTAAATAGTACAAAATTAGGACTAATGCAGCAATCATTGGTAGCAAGTTATACATATATATATAATTCATTTTCTTCAAGCAATAATACACGCTATATATTCACTAAAGTACATTAAAATTTAAATAATTTTTTTTTATATCAATAAACAACAAAGCTAATTATTAATTTGTAGAAATACATATTAAATATGTTTAACTAACTATATATTTATATATATACTTTTGCAAAATGTAGCCGAGTTCTGCAAGTAAATATAGAAATTTACATTTTATACATAAAAGAAATTATGTACAATTTACTAATAAAATTTCGCTTATAAGATATAAAATATACAGCTATAAGATATAAATATAAAAAATTATAAATGAAACGAAATATATATTATTTAATTAATAACAGATTAATTCATTTGTAAATACGTAGAATAATCAATGATTGATATTTAAAGCAAAAACATTAAATTTTAATTTATAATCAATTAAATTATTAATACATAACTTTTATACATTTATTTCGTAAATAAAAAATTATTAAAATTGCACAAAAAAAAAAGAAAAATAAATAATAATAATTTAAAGAATGCAGAAATTTACTTTTAAATGTTGTCATCTTAAAAATATAATATTTCTATGTTTTTTGAATATTTCTTATTTATTGTTATTGATATTTTATCATTATTTTTATTCAGATTTTTGTTTTGTAAACTTTAATAAAACCAGCGTGTATTTTGCTTTCATTGAAATAAAATGAAAATATATATTTTTTTAATTTTTTTTAAACTAAATATAAATTTTGCTACCTTGCTATATTATTTATTAAATATATACTCATATATATAGGCACAGGTTAATCTATTTCTACACTACTACCAAATTTAATCAATCTTAATGTACGTGAGCTGATGACGCATTATCTTTAATAGCAACAATTCCAAATAGTTTTTCCATAATATATTTTCTTTGTAGATGCTTGTTGGTATGCATAGTTTTTTTTTCTTTTGTCAATTGTTTAATACAACGTTTAAAGCAAGTGCGTCTGTTTGTGTGTGAGATAGTTCGATGTTTTACGATCTAATAGATTGAAGAGCGAAGGTCATAACTTACATTGTTAATCAAAAATGATGTATGGATTAAAATACAATATATTCCGATTCATGCATTGAGCTATGTATTTTACAGTTGCACTTTAAAATCTATATTTCGATTTCGATAACTGACTGGGATGTCAATTTCCACAAAACTTTTCTACACAATCCCGTTTATTTGCTGTTGTGTTGTTTTGATTTCTTCTTCTTCTTCTTGTCTTTTGTTTCGACATTGCGTTGCTCTTTTAAAAATAGAAGAAAAAAAATGTTTAACTATGTGAAATATTGGTAAGAAATTGAAAAATATCTTTAATCCCATCTAAACTGAAATATATTACTGAAAGTAGTGTTTTAAATTGTTTGAGCTAGTCCAGTACATTTAAATTGGGGCTATTTGGAACGAATATTTTAATTCTTTCAGAATTTTCCAGCTACTCGTAGAACTACTCACCTACTCAGATCAATGATTCTCTTCTCAACATTTCATGTTATTCTGCAGTATACAAATACGCATAACAGTAAATGCTCGGACACAGTAGGTGTTCCAATATTTTTCAGCGGGTCGATCCCAAGGGATCCACTTAGGCCTATAGGTCAATTATGTTGCCTTATAATTAAAAACTTAAGTTTATAAAAGTTTATATTACTATTCAGAGAGAGGTCATGCAGTTCGTCAAGATCCTCAAAAGAGAAAACCCTATGAGATTTGAAACGGAGATTCATTTTCTATATCATTAAGCCAACGATATACTTAATTTGGGTTGATCTCAGTTACGCTCACTTGTAGTTTAAAAATTATAAAATAATATTTTATATTTGTTTCAATAGCTAACTTTTATCAATTGATCTGCATTTAAGCTTTAGATCATTGCAAAGAGCTTCCTTACATATTATATATAATATTAAATTTGACACAATAGAAATAAACATTATTTTCAAGTTATTATTTTATCAATAATTACTTGTATCTATTTGGAATCTCTTTTCAGATAGAAAGAATAATAGTTAATACAAAATACTATAATAGCTGGAGCGTTTACTTCTTAATTTGTAGTTAATATTAATCAATCGATGATTAAAAGATCAGATAATAATATATTATTTGAATTGAGAAGAAATTAGTATGATAAAAGACTGAGTAGATACTTTGATTTCTTGTTAAATTATTTAGTAGTTATACATAATGGATCTATTATTTGCTCAAAAAAATTTATTTAATTAAGAATTGTGAGTAGTTAAATTATCTTACTCTATTATCCTCCTTTTAATTCTTATATACTATTTATCATATATATAAGAATTTTAATTGAAAATTGTTATAGAAATTTTTACTATTAATAAAACAAAGTCATAAAAATTTACAATCTGCTTATAAGACCTAAACACTAATAATTTAACTATAGTTATTTATATATATAAATACATATATGCATACATAAAATGTTCAATTATTCAGTTCGTTGGGGTTAAAGTTGCTTAATATAATATAATTATTATAACTTACCTGTCTTTGATGCTGATGAGCTCGATGATGTTGAATCATATGCTTCCGATGCCACTGAAGACTCAGAAGATATGGAAATGATTGATGTCGATGACGGTGAAGATACAAGTGTTGACCTTTGTGAAAACAACTTGTGTTGATTTAGCGGTTGCCTTTGTTGTTGTGAATGCATCCGTTGCTGACGCATTTGTGGTTGGACTGGTCGCGTATATCGCGATTTATTAGCAACGTAATTAGTAGACGAAACCACATACGGTTCAGCACAAGATTGATATTGCTGTTGATACTGCTGCTGCATAGGTGGTGGCACATAAAATTGTTGTCTATAATATGTTGCATGAGTTTTATTAGTTGTATGCTGTCGTTGCGGTGACAACGGTGATATATCTGTTTGTTGTTGATACGTATGCTGATAATCATTGGTAGAATATCTTTGCTGCGATTGCTGATGATGAGATATATTTGATTGTGATATATGTGGGTATTGTTGTGGTTGTGGTTGTTGTTGCTGCTGTGTTAAATGTTGGGTTTGTTGCTGCAGCGGCAATTGCATGATCATTGTTGTTGAATGCACATTATTAGAATGTGAATTTTCATCAACAATGTCAGCAACACCAATACCACTGCTATTTGTTATGGCAGTAGGGGATAGGTTGGTGTCATTTGCCGATGCTTGTTGCTGCTGCTGCTGAACAAGCCCGGCGACTATTCATCATGTCTCTATGCGAGAAATTGTATGAATATTTGCGGATGTTGTTAAACCGGTGGATGCAGACGAGGTTACGGGCGCTAGCATCATTGTCGGTGAGGTTGAGTCGACGTCACATTCTTTACTATCTTCAGAATCATCAGCAGAGGACGTACTACCACTTCTATGATGGACAGATGTCATGGCTGCATGTTGCTGTTGATGATGATACATTTGTTGTTGTAACAAGTGTACACCATGTGGCGTCTGTTGTGACGGAATAGTTCCGGGTGGCAATAATGCAGATTGAACCATCGGCACTTGTACATATTTAACACCACCAACAGTATTTCCTACAGTAGAAGGAACGAGAGAACCTATGGGCGATAACCGTGTTAAAACTAAACTTTCGAAATTTTCTCTTATCCACTCGCGATAGTCAATAACATCGTCAGTTATTCGTATAATGCGTCCTAAAGAAAAATTTTATATATAATTAGTTTTTTTTTTGTACGGATATTTTAAATAAAATGTTGGTATATGTTACTTTTTACTGTTAAATTTCTTTAATCGGACAAAGTTTTGAAATTATATTTTATATCGAAAACTTTTCTTTTAAAATACAATTAACGTCCATGAATTAGAACGTCCAGATTTGATTTTCTTTTTGTCATGCATTAATTAAATACTGTAAAATTACAACTTTTGCTTTTAAGATATCGATGTATTTTCAATTTTTACCTAAATGTAGGGTTCGAGGGAAATTACTTAAAAACTTTCTGAATAAAACAAAATTGTTTCATTCAAATAACTGGAGTTTTATAGCACTTTTAAGTCATTCAATTCATTCTGATCATTTTTATGAATATATTTCGTACAAATAGCTTAAGTAATATCAGTTTTGAGTCTATAATTTTTTTTTTAATTTCAGGCCTATATGTTTTTCTATGTAAATGCGATTAAAAGTTGTAGTGGATCCAATTAAATCATTTATCTCAAAATTATTCATTTTTTTAAAAAATTTTTCTTGTCTTATTATCTCGGCAACATTTTTTGCTAAAGAATTCTGCAATCTCGTGTTTGACTGTCCTACTACTTTTTTTTTCAACAAAAATGTAGAGATCTATTTATTAGTATCCCCACGTCTTAGAAAATTTGTGCGGTTTTCTTAAAAAAAGTAATAGGAATTGCGCTTTGGAGTTGAAGTAAAATGTTATTTAATAATAGATGAAAAAGGTAGACTAAAGTAACATGGACACATATTGCCTTCGATTATCCGTGTTTCAAATAATTATAATTTTTACATTAGAAAATAATATATACTAAATATATTTAATAAATAATTATCACTAAAAATAGTTTATTTTTCATATAATTCACACTTATAATATATTTAATCATAAAAATTTAGTCACTTACCTAATATTGAACGCTCGTTACAATCACTAGCCCATAAATTAAGTGGACTCACAGCCTGTGACAGCATTAGATAAGCGTATTCGAACGCTTGTTTGACTTGTAGTGCTCCATATGAACTACGTCCAATATCATTTCCAGGAGTTAATGGATCTTCGATGCATAAAAGTGATGGACGATGGCCATCAATCATATCACGTTGCAAGTCCTCTTTGGGTATATAGCGACCACCATTTTTAACAGAAATGCCAATTTTCATGTAATTAAATTTTCGACCATACAATTCAAAAAATTCTAGCAGCAATACACCTAAATTTGCGTTATCTACATTGATTTGACGTGGATGCAATTGCAGAAAACTAATACACATTAATATAAGAGAATATGAGGAAATTCCACCGGTGAAGACTTCGTTGAGATCACGCTGCAACAAAAATTGCTTCAGCACTAATACAAGTTTGGCTAGTAGCGGGAATTCTTGCTTATATTTTTTAATCAGTTCAGCCGATTGCACACCCGACTGCATGTTAAATGATATATCCACTTTAACTTGTGTCTCACGATCAGTTAGTTTAATAATTGGTACAGAAGCTTTGTCAAGTACACGCACTGAATGCGGTTCAGCAATTCCACGTGCGATAAGTTCAGTTTCTAATGTACGTAAAGGCGTTTTTTCCCAAAGACCTACATTAAAAAATTTTTTTTTGTAAATTTATATATATATTAAATAGATTCATAGAATTATTTTGTTTTTTGTTTTTTTTTTTCTTTACCTAAAACAACTAAGTCAATATCAGAAGTTGGAAGAAACAATCCTGTGCGAAAAGAGCCAAAAATTTCTACAATAGCTGATGGCCAAATAGAATGCACCACTGCCTCAATTCGTTGCACAACCTCATTGCGTATCGCATGTTCTGTTGGTGTAGGCAATACATAATTATAAAACTGTTCTATTTCTTCATGCAGTCCAATTACACCACGTCCATATATATGTTCGGGAACTCGCCAAGGACAACCCTTATATTTGGATATAAGTTTATCCATATGTTTATTAAGATTATATGTACTTGCTTTATTATCAACTATGCGACCTATTTTCCTACGAGATGGATTATAATAGCTGGGGCGTTCGTGAGAAGGCATTTTCGAAGTTAAACTGTCTTGTAGACCAGCTGGAGTTGTAGCTGGTGTTGTGTTAGTATCGTTTGTACTTGTAGAATCTAATGAATTATTACTTGATGTATTACTCGAGTTACCGTTACCGTTACCGTTCCCGTTTCCGTTACCGTTGCTGTTATTATTACGAACTCCTCCACTAAATTGTTGTAGTAACAATTGTATCGAATCACGATCACGTGCGCTTAACGTACCGTTACCTAATTTTCCGTTAAACCCTTGTAATTGTTGTTGTTGTAATTGTTGATTTTGTTGTTCCAAGAGTTGGCTCATATCAAGCGCATTGGTTTCCCAAATTTTAGACCATGTGCGTAATGCTGGACCCTCCTGTTCCTCTTGAAACCAACCGACAAAAGGATCCATTCAAAATTTTAAATTTTTTGCTAGGCGTTCCGTTTTTGCGTTGTTCTTAAACCAAACGGGATAGCCTCTTCTTAGGACTAATTATTAGCCAAAATATTATTGGCGGCTGTTCTTCTTCTTATTTTTTTGTACTGTTTTAGCTTCTTCGCAGATTTATTTCACTGTAAAATAATATGTCAATAATGAAATATATATTATAATTTTAATAGTAATCGATATAATTATATATAAATAAATATTGTAATATGTGTAATGCGTATGAGATTAATGTAAGAGTTAGAGATTTAATTTTTTAGTAAACTTATAAACTTAAAAATGTAACAAACAATAACAAATATATATTTATATATTCTATTTATTAGTGGTATATACATACTCTAATGAATTGTTTCCTAAATTTTGACGACTTGCGACCCATTTTATTTGAGTAAGTGAACCACTGAGGTGTCGTCATTGATACTTTGGGAATGGTTGCGTTAATATTCAAAGCAAGTTTTGTTAAAATGTACATAAATTCATTAATGAATAATAGCCATGCTTCCCGGTTTTGAATAACGAATCCGCTGTACTTGATATTTCTGCGATTGTTCCACATTACTGGTCTTTTTATCGCAGTCTTCTCTTGTCTGCATCATTCGCTTAAATCATTTTCATTTTTTTAGGGCGATTTTATTTTAAGGCTTCCAGTTGCATAGTTTAAATATCTATGCACTTTGTTTGTTATGGCGAAAATTTCTTAATGTTTAATATAAATAGATTTTGCAAATATTTCAACTCAATACAAACTATTAATTGAATTATTGAAAATATTTAATTAACACAGTAAAGTAAAACTTTACTTAAAGAAGTATTAAAAAAGTAAGGGTTTTTTTTCTGAAGCCTTCCTCCTTCAAACAAAATTATGCCCGGATATATTATTTTTCAAAATCGTAAAAATATTTATTTTGTATTTATTTAATTATAACTAAACTTTTTGAAATTAAACAAGAATAGATTGTGATTTTAACAAACGCAAAATTAGTAAAACCACCCCCTCGTTGCACACACCTGGCATATAACGAATATGTACTACTGAGTGAGTGCATGATGCATAGAAACTACGAAAGAAGGAAAACTGAGGAAATTTCTAGCAGTCACAAACTGAACAAACATATTTGCACATCAAATATACAAATATATAAATATACAAAAGAAAATTAAGTTAAATCAGAAAAATTAGTAGCAAATTAAAATAAACGCATTTAGAGCGCGAATAAAAAATTAACATAAAAGTTAAAGAAAAAATAAACTCACGAGACTTGTACTTTGTGGTCTGAGTGAAGCAGGTGAGAAGGCGGTGAAATGAAATAGATATGAAAAATTATTGAACAGCAACAGCACACTTAAGTAAGATGTTTCATACATGAAAATATTAATAGAATAAAAGATTTTTTAACAAACTATATTATACAAAAGTTGCTAATTTTTTAACTAAAGTTAGTTTTATAAATTTCAAATATAAATATATATGTACATGCAAACGCACACATACGCGCTTAATACAGATGAACAAAAAAAATGACAAGGCTACATGCAGTAATAAGAAATTTAACCAAATTAGGTGAAGTAATAATTTTGTACAAAATTTATTAGGTAAATTAATATCTACAATTGCTAATTTGTATTATAGTTTTGCTTATTTGTATTAATTATTAAAACTCACTATGCGTAAATTTAAACGAACTTTACACAAATCTTCCAAACATGGACACAAAATTGTGCAGGTGCAGTCTCGATTGCAGTCGCGCAGGAAAATCCTTGAAGGCAGATATAGTAATATGTGGCAAATAGGCGTATCAACTATTGAGATGTAACACGTTTATATTTTAAAACAATATCAGTTGAATCTGTTTTTAATTTTGTGACATTTTTACTGTTAGTTTTAATCTTTGTATGATTTTACTGCGTTCTTTTACACTTATTTTATGTGCCCCTACATCCGCATTGTATGTACGTAGAATGTCTACACGAAAGCAACCAGCAACGACTGTGAAGAACGCGGCGATAAGAAAATTGTGTGAAAAGTGAGCACAAAAATTTATAGTTTTAATAAAATATATCAACTTTTTATTGAAAAATTAATATAATCATAAATTAAAATGTTTTTTAATTACAGTTAATGATTTTTTATACACTTTAAATGCAATTTTTGTATATTTTATTGGCAAAAAGTTGCACTAACTCCTTCGTCTTTTTTTACTGCGCCCGAATAGTCACCACCTTTGACAGCGCGAAATGTATGCAAAGTTAATTCTACTCGTTGAAACTAGAAACCAGTAGAGCGCGTAAGTGTTGAAAATTAATATGGTGAATATGGTGTGCTAATTTTTTTTTTCTTGCTAATCGGCTTTTATTACATAGCCAATTTGATTAGAAGTTACCACACTACAATTATATATTTCACTTTAAATATTTATTCAACACTTTCACAATTACGGAAATATCATAATTTATATAATAACACAATAATTTACTTAATTAAATTTTAGGGAGGAACGATTATTCGACAACACAAGTTCTACTCGACCACGCTTTATATGACATTTTTCATATACTACTGGGTTGCCAACTCTTTAGAAATGTAAAATATTTTTCACCTCTAGTTAAACTCTTAATAATATAACAAGTTAAAGATTTATTAATAAGAATCAAATCTATAGAAAAATCTATATAAGATATAAAAAAATTTTTATTAGCAAATTAATAAATAATTAAATATAAATTTTGACATAAATTAATTGAAAAGTGAATAATAAATCTATTTATGCTGAGGATGTAATCTTAAAATTGATTATTACTTTGCTTATTTAACTCTCTCACCAAAAAAAAAAAACTGGCTGAGAAAACTAGTTGTGATTTCCTCAGTTTTGTTTTTATGATTGAAAATAATGATCGTTATAAATTATTTAGTTAGCACCATTTATCGAAATATTGATTGATTGAAATCATATTCGTTCGGCTGATGAAACAAAAATAAAATAACTACATTAACAGTTGATTTGTAATTCGTAGTAAATTAAATTAAAATTTACTCTAGTATAATTGTATGCATAAAGATAGCATTCATATATTTTCTTTTATAGAAAACGTTAATAAAGAAGAAACTAATATGGCGTTCACACTGGCCGAAAATGGCTTATTTCGAATGAGCTATTTGAAAATATTTACATTCGTTGTAATTCATTTGTTCGCATTTCAAACAATTGATTTTTTAACCTGCCTGTTGATTTGATTTTTGGCCTGTGCCAAAAAATGTTGCAAAAGGTTAAATATACCTTTAAACCTTACAATATAAACTGAAAACGTATTTTTAACTTCGATTAAGCACTTTTTGGGAAGTAGAAGTTCTAAAAAGAGGTGCATCGTTTTCAAAGATATGCAACCACCAAACATTTGTTTACCTTTCTTTGTAAATATGTCAACAACAACTTTCTCAAACTGTCAAAATGCCATGAAAAAGCTTTTATTTCGGGTATGTTCAGTGTATTCATTTGCATTTGGAACATATTTGGAACTCATTCTAACCTCGTTGGTACGCATTTATACAGAATACAATCCAATGGATCTCATTTGCGTTAGAGGTGTAGGCCTTTATGTTTTTCGATAGAACCGGATTATAATTCCAATTAAGTTTTTGACGAAGCGATTAAATTATATATTATATATGTATAACGCTTATTATAATAATATATGATATCCTATATGTATTTTTATATACATACTACTATATTACACAATATCTGTATTTCTGAAAAACAAAGAAGTGTATCTAACAAAAGTATATAGTTTATATTATATATATTTATTATAAATTATCACGTAAAAAATTTTTATAATATATTTAATATCATATATTTATTGACAAACTACAATATTATGAATAAAAATAAACAAAGCTCTAAATTTGTTCGAAATTCTTATATCAAATTAATTCGCTTACTAAAAAAATAAATTACATTAAAAATTTACATTTCAAATTTTAAATTCTATTAACCATTGTGAATTAGTTATAAGTAACATGCAAGTAATTTTAATTATATTAAAAGCAGCTAGCTGTGTCATATCAAATTTTTTGTGTAAAATAATTTATGTTAATTGTTAACAGATATAAAAAACATTAATATATAATTCGATCTTTAAGGGAAAAAATCTTAACCTTTTTTCAAGCACATATATTGTAATTGGAAATGCAACCCTGCTTCCTGGTTTGAAGTGTATTTTAATTCACCTCAGTAGTTTATCCACGAATGGGATATTTTTGTATTTTCTTTCTGTGTCATATTCGTAAATAAAGTCAACATGGAGGATGCTTTAACACGGTAATATTTAATAATAATATAAACATTAAACAATTTTATTGGATAAAATATTAAATTTATCTAGACAAGCAATTCAAGAAATTATAAGTGAGACTTATGAAGAGAGCACACAATCATGTACTAAACAAAGACCTTCAGTTAAACCGAACAAGGAATTTCTTGGCAGAACGATTTCATCCATTGTAAGCCACAATAAGAGAGAAAGTGCTATGCAGCAAAGGAGGTGCCGTGACAAATTGAGGGAACTAGATCGAAAAAGTAACGTTGAATTCAAGCGAAATGAATATAAACGTAAATACTATAGGAACAGATATGAACAGGAAAGCAGTAGCTCCTCCGAATCTGAGTATGAGCGTCACAAACGAAAGAAGAGAAGAAAGAAAAGTAAAAAGAAAAGTAAGGTACATAAGCACAAATCGAGTAGGCAATTATATAAACTTGATACAGAAGAATGTGGCTTAGCAGAAAACAATTATCGAAATGCATTTGATGCAGAAGTATGTGATATATCAGAACAACAGTTTTCTTTAAATTCGTTTGCTCTTGAACAGATGAAACAACATTACATATATCAGCACTTATTAGGTAGTGAAAATAGCAGACTGGTGCAAGATGCTGAGTGGAAGGATGCAGATTTGATTAGTGTTGCAGACACTAGCTCCAGTTCTCCAGTTTTATCAGTATCTTCGTTAAACTCCGAGATTAGTGTAAAACAAAATGTTCCTACCATTAACTTGCTGACGGATAATGAATCAGAGGAAAGTGCTAGTGACGTCAGAAATATCAATAATGTTAATGATGCTACAAGTCCACCTATTAATTTAAGTTCCGATGAATTCGATTTAAGCGATAGTTCAGTCTTATATGTGTCAAGTGAGCATAGTCCTCTGAATATCATTTCATTAGAGACTGATTCAAACTCGAATTGTGGCAGTCAAAAATAAAAATCGGTAAAAAATAATGAGTTTTCAAATTTTTATTTATACAAAGATTTATATTGCCAAATTATAATTAAATATATATTAAAAATTTTGTATAATAAAATTTCATATTGCGTATAAAATACGCAATTTATTTTAAAATTAAAAAAAAAATTTATTTCAATTTCTAAATTAAAGCAGCATATGATATATCACCCTGTGTTTATTTATCCGGCAATATGAAGCCTACGGATAATTAGTAAAACAGCTGTTTTCAACGTCTCAAATCTAAATAAACTCGCAAAATGTTTGGAAACATTAAGAAAAAATTAAGTAATGCTTTACAAGAAGGATTCGTTATATCTGAAAGCCTTCAGCAGCACTATAGACGCGTTAGTACTCCTTCGACACCAGTATCGCCTACTTTTGAGGACCGCTTCAATAGTGATCGGTCTTCTTTAAGGAGTTCTAGCACCACTGAAGATTTGGTGGACGCAGTTCCTTCAAATGTTAATGTTGCAGCAGGCTGTAATTTACTTGCCAAATATGAAGATGACTGGGTATCAATTAATAAAATGAGCGAAGAAAATGCGAGAAGAGCTGACCAAATTGCTACCGAAATTGATAAAATCAAACAGAAAACCATGGAACAACGTGTAGTGATGACTGATCTCATTACGTGTCTGTCTGGAATACCAGGGCTTATAGTAAAATTAGAAAATAGTAAGAAAACATTGCAGGACATAACAGAGTTTGCAACAAGAGTGGAAAGAGAAACGGATGTGTTACAGAATTTATGTGAAGAGTGCGAAATGCAGGAGTTTATTTTACAAAAGCAGTTTGAATTATCACAATATAAACAGAAGAAAATGGGTACATAAGTCCGTTTTTTAAATTTGATCAATTAAATAATTTTATATTTAAAGGAGAATTAGAAGTTTATCGCCAAAAAGTTGCGGCTGAACATCAAGGAAAAATAAGACAGCATGAGGAACATTTGAAGCAAATTCAACGGGAGCGTCAAGCAGTTTTCGACGATGCGTTCCGTGGAGACATAGAAGAGTTTAAGCAGAAAGGCGTTATAACAAGTAAATGCAATGGTTTAACGATATTAAAGATATATATGTTATAAATAATTATGTTGAGCCCTTTCTGAGTGAGTGCATCTGGACACTCACTACTCTTTGATTTTACTCCTTGTATTCCTCATAAGCTTCGTGATTATTCAATGACTGATCTAAGATCTGCGTACCGCCCCGTGCGGTTAGTGATTACTCTGAGATTAGATAGTGATAAGTAGGGTAGGTTGTCGGTTTTCGCATATAGCTTCAGGGCTCTGTCCCTTATGTAGTTTTTGATCGGATCTTTTCTAGGTCTATTCTCTTAGCATGTCATTCGGGCGGATGTACCATGGCACTATGAAGAGTCTTTGGAATGCCTGACTTTGAGCAAGTGCTAGTAGGGCAGCCTGTCGGTTTTCGCATATAGCTTCAGGGCTCTGGACATCCCAGACCTTATTCGCTTCAATGAAAACTGAATGAAGGTACTGGACTCGTTTTCAGATCATCGTGTGACATACATACAGAGTCTACAGGTGTTGATGTCATCCGTGTACCATCTTTGAAGATGGTAATTAACAGGTACAAATCCCTTTAAACAACCAGTAACTAATCTGAGTTTGGATTTGTTTAAACTAAGGAACCTCAGTTTTACCTTTTATTTGATTTTCTGAGTAGTAATGATTCAGTTTGATAAGATATCCTGCTAAAAGTGTCGGGTCCTATAAAGGGTGACAGTGCACCCTTTTTCGTCAATCTTTCAGGTAATTGATTTACATCGAAATTTTCACCAACTTGGATTTGGTTGTTGGAGATATTTTATAACTGCTGGGCTATTCTAGTATATAATGTGTTTTTGTGTTGCGATTTCTATATATAGAATAGCTATGTTATATCCATAGACACCAGCACTACTTTGTTTTATAATATTGAACAAAAATTGTAAATGATAAAATGTTTAGATAATTAGTTTATCTAGCCTAAATTTTTGAATTTTTATATTTATTGTTGATTATTTGTTAATTTATTTTATTCTCTTATGTATAGAAATATCTACCGAATCCAAAGCAAAAGTTACGTTAGAAGAAGTAGATTTGCAGGATGAACAAACCAAAGATGCTTTGGAAGAGTTTCTAAATGGATGATTAATGCTTTGACATCAGCTTAGACAGTTAATTTGGGATTTTTTAAAACGGGAACGATTAAAAAGAACGAACCTGCTATTTTTTTTATTGTTATAATACCATATACCAACATTCTTATTTTATTAAATTTCTTTTGAACTGATTGTAAATGTATGTCAATAATATTCAAATCGTTTTAATTTTTTATTCTTTTATATATTTATTTTTATTGTAAACATTTAAAATTTATTATACCACATTTAATCTTAATATACAGTAAAATTAAATATATATATATTTAAAAATGTCCATAATTAAATTATAACATAAATATAAATGTAAATTATTTTTGATATATAATTATTGCATACATTGTGTATTAGTATACATTGTGATTAAGATTTAAATAACAATGTTTTCTTAAAATAAAAATAGGATAAAAAATATGCTATATAAATATTTTATATTGATAAGTATAGTCAATTATATATATAGATTTTATTACATTGTTAACATAAAATTTAATGGAATGCAATCTCGAATCGAATTCGGATTTACATAACAATTTCAATGTATGAAATTTTATATATATTTTAAACTTAATTTAAATTTTAAAATTATTTTATATAAAAAAAAAATATCTTTTATAATTTTATAGATAAAAGTTTGTGTTTTAATTGCTAAAAGATATGGAAGCTAATTCTATTATTAAATTGAAATATAAATTTATTTTTGTTTTAGGTAGAGAATACTTTTATATTTTTTTTTATAAGATTATTTAATAATCTTTAAAAAAAATTCATAGTAATAAATTTAAAAAAAATATATATTTAAAGAAATATTTAAAGTGCAATAAAAAAAATATACAAACCATTTTATAAAATTATTATACATTATAATAATAAAGGTATACTATTTGAATAAAATTTTAAAATAATGATTATAAAACATTATTATATTTGTTTTTTCACTAAAATAAACAATTGGTTATTTATAATAAATTCTATATGATATTAAAATAATAAAAATAAAATTCAGTCAATTTTTTTAATATATATTTAAATTTGTGCTTACATGTTTTTAAATAAATGCTTAAATATAAGTGAAAGTGATAATCTTTTTCATCAGTCATAACAAAATTATTTAATATTTCTAGCTAATTTGAACTAAAATGCAGTAATATATTTAGGTAAACAAAAGTGAGAAAGATAAATAAATAATTTTGAAATTAAAAAAAAATTTTTAAGTACACATATACCATAGTTCATTTTTTATAATTTATTGTGCTAGATAAGTTAAGAATTCAAATAGTATTTTCTAGTTCACTAATTAAAAATTAAAGCTAATTAATTAATCATTATTAGGGTTAATTATTATTGAACTGAATTCATTCGAATTAGTATACGAAAAAATATATTAGATATTACACAGATTCTATAAATATAATATTTTTATTATTCAAGTTAAATTGATTTGTTTTGTACCACTTACATTAACATTATATGTTATATATTTAATATTAATTTAACTTATGCTAATTTTTTATTCTAATTATTGTTTGAACACAAAGAAACCCGTTGGATCCCATTCGCTGTCTTCGTTCGGACCGAAACATTCATCGAAATACCATTCCATAGTTTTATAAGCATGACTTAGGGATTTACTTAAGTGGTGATCTTCATCTGGATAAACCTTATATATAAAAAAATATTATTTTAAAGAAAAATAAATATGAAAATTACCATATATCTTACAATTATAATATAAAAATAATCAAATTTAAACAAAGTCAAATATGACGAAGAAACTATTAAATGTTTCAATTAATTGTATTTTTTATTGATCATAGAACTGATTCCGGATTACCAAATAACCATAACTAGTGGTCTTCACAATTTTTTTTAAGATTTAATTGCTTATATATAGTTTTTAGACCATATAAACTAGGTTTTGACAGAGTTAAAGTTTAACTCTTGATATTTCCAGAGAAAAAAATTTTCAATGAACAATTAAATGCAAAAACTATTTCTTAAGACAATTGATGGTACATATTTGGTAATACCTACAAGCTCTATGGGCACCTAAAAGCTATAAAATAATAATTTTCTGAAAATTATTATTATTATTAATATGTATTACTGTTTTGGTCACCAAAAATTGATAGTTATGAATATAAACATAAAGTTAGTCTATTGACTGTAGCTCATCACAATTAATAATTGAAGATATAATAATTTATTAAAATTAAAAACTAATAAAGTATTTTGAATGTTGCGTTAACTAACCTGATGTCTAAACTTAACCTGTTGATCCACCATTGCACGCACTAACATTAAAGTGTGCTCTTGATGTACCAATGTATCGGCCGTACCGTGCATTATCATAAGATTCCGACCTTTAACATTTCCGGCTTTCATAGTTAGATCCGATTCTTGCAATGCTCTTAGATAGTCACCTTTCAGTGGTATATAACGTTCAGTAAAAAATGAGTCTAATACATGTGAAAAACAAGAAATATTTTATAAATATTTTAATTATTTATTTTAGTCAATTTTCATATAAAAAATTAAATGATTTTGCAATAGCTTCTTTTAGAGTTAAGTAGATTTCAATAGATTTAATAAAATATAGATTTAAGTAATTATAACACACTAATGGGTACTTACAATGATATCCAAATGATACTAATGGATTAATAGCAATGCCACATAACAACACATTTTGAGAGTCTTCTATTAGTGCCATTATGGTTGCATAACCTCCATAACCCCAGCCATAGGCACAAATACGGGATGGATCAATAAAGTGTAAATTATCACGTAGATAACTGAAAATCAATATTTTTACATACATATTTGTAATAGAATTAAATGAATCAGAAATGAAGCTCACGTCATAACGCCAAGTTGATCTTCAACCTCAACCGTACCCAGTTTGCCATGAACTTGAGTGCGTAGAAGTTCTCCCTGAAAACCACTACCGCGTGCATCGATTTGTGCCACAATTACTGAACGTTGACTACACAAGTACCAATTCCAATCGATTTGATATTTCTCAGTTACTAATTGTGAACCAGGCGAAGCATCACTACAACA